TTGACTACGCAGCGTTTTAAAGCGTCGTGCCATTTGGGATAGATGGACTCGAACCTTCGCCACGAGGTGGTGCGTTGGGTTCAGTTCAAGGCTGTGGGCTGCTGTTAGTTTGTTCATTTCGTAGAAGCTGACTGGCTAAAAACGCAGCTAATCGTCAGCTTTTTAACGCAATATCGTTGAAAAGCCCTGCCGATCTGGAAAGAGTTGTTCGTGGATATCTGAGCCGTGGCTCTAGAGGCAAAGGGAGGACGTTGGAGCGACGCATGTCAAATATTCATCTGGGGCTTTCTGCAGCTGAGAGTAACAACGGCTTTGACGTAAGAGACTGAGCATCAATGTGGTAGGCCTGTTACACTGCCTGCTGCACCTCTGGCTTAGCATACTGAACGGTAGACGGCCGTGAGGTGACACGCTTTCATTTTCATAATATTGCATAGAAAGCTGAATGAAGGTGGAAGAGATATAAAAATGTCGTTTCCATCTGCTGCTACCAATATTGCATGGGTTTTGTTTTAAATGACTGGTATCACGTTAGGAAGCGTGAGGTCTGTGCCAATAATGATCATGCGAAGACAGTGAAGGTCGCCTGCGCACTCGGCTGATTGTACGATGACGTCACAAAATGAAGATGATGTCGTCAGGTGCTTGTAGAACCATGTTGTCGGTAAAGATAGCATTACAGCGATGCAGTTTTGCGAAATACGTAGGGTTGAGGCTTTGAGGGGGTTGAAGGCAAGAAACAATGACTGGACCTGCCTCCAAAATGCACTTAAAACAGATTTCCCACATATTTGACACCCTTTCTTTTCACGGTTGGGAGCACGGGTGCAACTTGTCGGCAATCTAAATTTGGCCAACATCTTTGGCAACCTAAATTTGGCCAATGCCTTGGAAATTATTATCGTTCATCCTGCAATGTAAAATGTTATATCAGTATTCCACGGAGAGCCAATACATGTAATTCGCAATTCGCGGCTCCTCCGTAGTCCATGCATCGACGTATCCAGATGCACTACAGGCAATTGTGAGCATATATGTAACTTTCTAGGGGTTGAGTAAACCATTTTTAATGAGGCCCCGACGACCAGGGGAAACGTACAGCAAAACATGCGCACACACACACCCATACTGGCATGCAGTTATTCATTTTCGTCCATCTTTCTATATTAAATAAGGTTTTTCACCGCGGCTGTCTGTGAAAGCCGAGGACGCCGTTACGTAAGCAAATCGCGTGACAGGTCGTATCAGCACAGCTGTGCCACTCCCATCGCACGTGATATCATCGCTCTGGAACTCAGCCAACCGACCCGGCGATACCGCGTGCAGCAGCTGCCCGGTGAGGGGCAGGGGGAGGCGGCTTCAGGGCACTCGGCTGGGGCAGTTGATCCAGGGTACACTTCTGAGGGGTGGATCCATGGTACGCTGCTGAAAGGGGGGGGAGGGGGAGATCCGTTACACAAACCGCCGGTTTAGTTACAAATCACCCACGTGCAAAAGAGCGAGACGTGGATTGTAATGATCACGTAGCAGACCCTGTCTTATGGAGCCGTAGGCGGCGGGCTTAAGTCAAGCGGTGATCAGACTCAGCTGGATTTCTCGTGTAGCAGCGTTTAAGTAGGCCCACAGAGGGATCCTATGGACACTTCGGGACCGATTATCAACAGCCCATTTAGGAGACTGAATGGCTCGTTGTAGGTCACATTAAGACTCTCGGCCCGTGGGACCGTGGCCTTGAATGTCAGTTTTTGCACTGATTGAGAACCCCTTAGACAACGCGGGTCCCTGTCGTATCGTCCCCCAGCATCGAACATATAACGCGTAACTACGTGACATCTAGTTCATACCGCCAAGCCTAATCCTTGATGGTTATCAAAATGCTCTTGGTCACCATGACCTTCTAAAGGTCAACAAACGTCACTGACATTAACCACTGATCTTTTACTTAGAGCAGGTATCTAGATTCATGTCCATTGCATGAGAAGGTCTGTGGGCACTTTGGAATCAATCTCGAGTTGGACCTTGTTTGAACCAATTTGTCCTGAAGGACAGTACCTATAAGCCTCAGATTCTGTTACAAGTGATTTGACGTACAGTTCAACACACCCCGTAAATTTTGCATCTCTAGCTCTCTCACTGTATGATATTTATTGGGGGGAGGTCAACTGACCCCTACGAAGAGTATTCAACCGGCCACCCGGGCGCGTCCATATCATCCGTACATCTGCGCACGAAGAGTTTGTTAACAGCAGAGTCTCTTTCTCTACTCAGTCTCCAACCCTAGTTTGTCTCAGTTCTAGACATGCATGCGTGACCTGCAACAAGATCTAGATTGCATATTCTTCTTCTTCATCATCTTCAAATAGCTTCTGCACGTAAAAATCGTCCAAACACTATGCGTTCAAAAATGACACGTGAGTACCATTAAGTGCATTATGTGTATTGTATCTAAATCGAATCAGGCAACACACCCGATAGACCAACGTCGGCTGCCTGAGTGCCAACAGACACCGGCCGGCCTAAAAAACACTGCCGCAGTCCTGCGGCGTAACCGTCAGCTTGTTGGTGGCGGAGCCGGCATCGGCCATCAGCTTCACATACTCGTCCTGCGTGCTCTGGTCCAGCTCGGCCGTCCGGGACAGGATCCAAGCATACTCCACGTTGAAGCCGAGCAAGCTGTCGCAGGCGTAAACGAGCGCCGACTGCGTGTAATCGGTGCGGATGACGTTGTAGCTGCCGCGGAAGCCCTCGTCGAAGACGACGCTGAGGGAGGCCGGGTGCGCCGGGTCCTTGACGGTGGCGGTGGCCATGATGGAGTCTATGCTGCCGTCCGGCTTCTTCCCGCGGTTCTCCAGCCGGATGGTGCCGTCCTCTTTCAGGGTGTAGTTGGTCTGGACGCAGGTCTCGCCGAGTTCCCCGATCAGGGGGTACCGCGAGATCTCGTACCACTGGCCGGTGTACTGCAACACGCAGAGGAACAAATTATGTATGGGGCCAACGCAACGCGTAAGGTGCTCAGCTTCGCTTTCAGCTTTGTAGCGTTTAAGGATAACGAATTCAAAACGCAGCGACCGTAATGTAACGACTGAGTGGTTAGCAAACCTGGCCCCAACAGAGGACCAGGGTTCGACAGCCGGCTACGCCATAGCTCCTGGGGTTAATATGGTCATTGCAGTCGTTTTCACTCGATGAGAGGGCTTACAATGACGTGCATCGTGTTCTGTATAAAAATAATGTGATCAGACGCTCATGATAAGTAAGAAGCAATCTCGCCGCGTTACATCGAAATTTGTGTTGGTGGCAGTGTATTTACAAAGAGGTTTTTGGCATTTGTTCTGATTCTTTGGTGTCAGAAAATAAATATAGAAACAAAGTTTTGAGTACAAAACGTACTGAATCATATGACCTGGCCAGGAACCGTCACACAATCTTTAAATGGACGTTTCACGGAATTGTGGTCAAAGCGATATTGAAGCGAAAAGTCAAACGTGAAATATTTCCGCGTTTTCCACCGTGTTGTGATTGCTTTGTTGAGGGAGGCACCGGTGGCTCACATCGGGATGACAGCGCGTGGAAAATGCTGCATGCTACCCATATTCCCGCACGTCTGCATGTTGTATCACTCTGGACATGTTCGATGGGATATAATCATTGTACCGACTATCGCCCTCGTCTACCGTATTAGAATGCGTACAGCGATTTGGACAGGTAAGCCTTCGGCTTCCACCAGGCAACACCGTTTACTGAGAGAGGCTAGAGGATGATTTTGTGCCATCAGCCATGTAAGCTTTACGACCAAAATTACCTCCATGGAATAGCTGGCATTCCATGGAGGTCAATGCCAGAGTATTTTTGATTGCGGATCCAGTGCGCCGCCAACTGAGATAACCTGGAAAGACAGTTCAGTAGAGTACTGGACTCGCAATCAACAATGCTCTGCTTCAAATGCCAGAAATTCCAAGGAGATAACTCGGCTTGTGACGCACAGATGACTGACAGCCAAGAATCACGTAATGTTTCTCAAGGCTCCACAACACCTAGCTACGACAAGGCTTCACAACACCTAACTCCACAAAACCTAACAACACCAGATAGAGCTCACTGGCCGAGACGCGTTGTACATACTGACACATCAGACGAGAAGGATAGCTTGAACAATTTTTCCATTTGTGATACTAACATCTCGTCTCAATCTTTTCGCAGAAATGCATTATCACAGCGCATAGACATGCACACAAAGGCATGCATCGCCTTTAGCAACAGAAGTACGGCACACGCTTAGTTTAGCGCCCTGCTGCCAAGCGAAACACCCTTCCCCGCACCTGCGTGGCGTCGAATTCGTCCAGAGATTTGAGGTCGGGACACTTGGCCAAAGAGACGGCCACTACAGAGGCGAACAGCAGAAGAGACTTCATCATGGTCATCCAGATAGGCACCAACACAGACGGAGGCCCCTCCAACATCAGCCGGCGTTTTATATGGCCAGTGAGCTGGCGGATACTGATAGCACACGCGCTTATGTAAGTCGCCTCGCCGTGGGAAAAATCCCAAGGAAGCGCGCGGTAAAGAGCCATGTAACCTTGTGCCTACTGACAAGGAGTCTGGACGCTCTGAGAGTGTGCATACGGGCTATTCATATGGTCGCGAGCATGACAACTTTCAGGGGCGACAGAGCAGGCTAGTAAAGCCGATGCTTAAGTTCAATAAGGTTGCTGCACCCATAGCGAGTTCTCTCCCGCCAAAGAGAATCCTGAACAATGTCAGTGCACGAACAGAAAATGAGGAGTCGATTTTCGGCTGTTATTTCAGTTGGACCAATGCACCGCACCGTGTTCCGCTCAGAAGCGGGACAAGCCCACGGCCTTAAGCCGCCCCTTACCACGTGTGTCCAAATAGACACCACCCCGCTTTAGCGGAAAAGTAACGCATGACAGCGCGCCGCTGCCTTTCATTGGTGGGGCCAAAACTTACGCCTCACATTTTGAGACCAATTAAGTCTTCGTGTCATTTCAGACCTCGAAGGAATAGGGTCATTTTCGATGACTTGTGTGAGGTATCAGCTGTTTTTTTCGTGGTTCCGTATGCATAATGCACAGACTTTGTAAGGAACCGCGGATTTCGGTGAAATTTCAATCAACAGGCTTGATTAGACGTGTTTTTGGCTTGATTAGATGTGTTTTTCAAAGGGCAAGCCAAGTTAGTGACCTTGAGTGGGCTTACCTGACGCCGTGGAGCCGTAGTTTTCCGTCAGGAAAAGCACTGTGCTGAACATTAATGACAGCATGAAACTGCCAGTTTGGCGAGCCGCAGAATTACCCGCTTGTTCTGCCGCCCAAAAGTAAAACCCCATGTGTTAATTTTTGGTCATTTTGCGTGTTTTACTTTTATCTGATCCGTCTACTCATGCTGAATTCGGTTATCTAAGCCATCAGTTGAAGTTTTCATAAACTTTTAGCCGTTTCTTTTAGCTAAAATTTGGTGAAAATATGAACTATTGGACATAATGCCCGAATTCAGCATAGGAAGAAGAATCACATTACATAACAACGCAAAATGGCCAGAAATGAACATATGGTGTTTTATCTTTGGACGGCAGTGTTATATGATATGTGAAACGAACAGCTTGGATGCATCAGGCAACGAAGAGAACGGCATGTAAGCGAAACACAATTACCGGCGTGTTGCTGCTAATAATTCACATCAAGTCCAGGGTGCGATGCGTCAAGTCCCGGCGCCCTGGGGTCAGATAAGGTCAGTGACCTCTGGCGAACATGTATGACTATAAGTAATTTCCTGGTCTCATGTTGTGCTAGATTTGATTCAGACATCTTTTTTGTCTCATTACATCGGAAACGCATAACCGGAAACGCTATGTTATGGGTCAGCGAGCGTGGTGCTCTGATCCGTAATGTCGGTGAGCGTCGTGCTCTGATCCGTAATGTCGGTGAGTGTGGTGCTCTGATCCGTAATGTCGGTGAGCGTGGTGCTCTGATCCGTAATGCTGGTGCAGCGGCGCATAATAGAGTCAAGATTCGTCATAATTTGCCACGCCCCCAGATCATTTTTCATAATCTGGCATTTAACGGAATGCCCGTAGTCAGCGAAGGTTGGAATGACATTCATGGCGCACTGCTTAATTTTGTTTTCAAATGTACGATGACTGGAAGCTAATGCATCTAAATTCGCACTGATACTGCATTGTTTAATGGGTCAGTACACAATTTCCGGGATTACCGCAGCTGAAGGAATCATGCGATTTCATCTCTACGTTAAAATTGGCCGTTGTCCCGTTGCTTGTAATGTTTACAGATAATTTCATTACGGCAGTAGAATCACAATCAAATTGATCAATCTGCAGCTATCGAATATTCCAACGACTGAAACGTTAGAGTAATCGTCTTTACCGCATTGGTGGAAGCCGAGTCAGTGAAACCCGCGGGCATCGGAAAGCACGGAAGCAATCTTCCCCAAAGCACAATACCCAAGCCCTGTATCCTCTAACAATTCTTCCAATGCGTTGATGACATGCTCAGCACGGACCCCAGGTGGCTTTGAGGCATGAGAGCCTCAAGGCTAGATCCCGAGGCTTTATATGTCACCGCTCGATCCTCCATTGCGGCATCTCAGAAGAAGCTGCCGCAGTCCTGCGACGTCATCGATAACAGGCTCGTGTTGGACCCGGTGTCCGCCAGCACCTGGATGTCCTCATCCACCACGCTCTTGTCCAGCTGCGGCGTGCGGGAGAGGACCCACGCATACTCCACGCCCAGCACCGCCAGCACACTGTGGCACGTGTGGATGAGTGCCGACTGCACGTAGTCGGTGCGGACGATCTTGTACTTCCGGATGACGGTCCAGCCGGACCGGACGGTGATGTCGGCCGGGTGGGCCGGGTTGTCGGCGCGGGCGGTGACGGAGGTGCGGTACAGGCTGCTGTTCGTCCACTTGGCCACGTTGCTGCACCGGAGGAATCCGGCGTCGTCGGAGGGGAGGGTGTAGCTGGCCCGGCCACGGGTGTACCCGGAGTCGTCGCGCTGACGGTACCGCGCTGTCTCGTACCACTGGCCACTGTACTGGAACGCAGAGATAACCGTGACGTTGAGGAGACGTGATTACATTAGAAGACGTGCTTACATTACATACCCCATTTTAGCTGATGCAGCCTGAGAGCGCGCCAAAAGTTTAAAGAAGATTGTCATCGACTGCCCGACTGTCAGCCGTTTGATTGTGTGATGGAACATTTGTATGACGTCAGAGTGGCTGTCAAACTGGCCGTGCCGAGCTGCCACCATAGCGAAAGGGCTGACTTACTTGTAAGACTTCAGCTTGCCGGTGGCGTGTCGTGCTTAAAGGTGCGTTGTTGATAAACCCAAATATTTTCAAGCGCGCGTGTTTTTGTGGTATAAATTGGTGCACTTGCATTTTTGCATATTTTTATATTGTTTGCTTGCATGCACATCCTTGGTTGTGGCGCTTTTCTAAAGTTATCCGATTTCCAGTCTTATTTCTGTCATAACTCGTAGCACTGCCCAAACCCCTCTATGATATAGCGCAAAACGTGATTTGTGTTCGACAGTTGCGCTGAACACATAACATTGGTTGAGGACCAACAGACATCCTTTAATGCCAGAAATCGTGCTGGCATACATCAAACACAACTAACTTGAATATAATATTTTGCTTGGCATAAAGCACTGCATGGCCAACGGGGTGACAGTATTCAAATAATGTATATATGGCGTCTTGCTTGCCCCGCTGACAAAAAATTTGGTGCAAGAAATATTCTGCACAAGTTTGCGGGCGTCAAGTTAAACAAAACAAGGGGTTTTGAAGGGAGCATGCCTTTTTGGGACCTTTTACTTGCTGTTGGATGAGATGGGTACGATTTCATCAGCAATACCACTTTTCTCGCAATATTTCCGTATAGTTAAGAAATTTGATTTAAGGTAGCCGCTGCTGCGAGAGAAACGTTACTGGACATCCTGCTGACCTCTATGAAAGTCATGCATTTCATTTGCATTGCTTTCGCCATGTGTGTGCTCCGTACTGTTTGCACAACACTAATTTGTTAAAATGTTGATGTAATAAATGCTTCAAAACTCTGAAATACTCGGCTGACAAATAAAGTCATCCGAACATCAGGCTATTCTCCCGCAAGCTCAACGAGATATTATGCAATGGCTTTGATCTCTCCACTATGACGTTTACCACGGCGGTTTTCATGACAACGGCCGTGACTCTAGAAAAAAGCGTAGTGCTTTACAGACCGTTGACAGCGTGACTTGGATTCCAAAATGATAAAATTGATATGCGTATCACGCCTTGACGGTGTTGCAGTGGCACCACTCAGCGCTATTATAAAACATATTTGGTCCTGACGTTTCACTAGAATATGTTTTTAAAATTTCCCCAAAGGAATGGCACTCCCTTTGAGTCTAAAGGGGACACTGAATAACCTTCAAAATGACTATTTTAGTTCGAACCCATACAAATGTGGGGTACTCCTTTTAAGGTATGATTGCTAAGGATATTCACTCAACGCATGAAACGGGATGTCCGTAAGCGGCAGACACATGAGTATTAAACGCGTGCGGATCAGGAACAAAATCAGCAATCAAATCGGAGTTTTTTGAACGCATACTGGTTTGGACTATAGCTTAACCGTTTATTCATAGAGTTTTCCCATTATCAAAAAGCCAAGATTCGTCCCCAAGTAGTTTTTATCTTCACTTTCCAACTCACCTGACCTGACTTTTATCTTTAGTTCAGCTTCGCTTAGCTTTAATGCTAAGTGTAGATCAAGCAGGTTTAGGTGCAACAAAACCATTGTAACACATTCCGGTTCTGAGCCTTCAACTGTCCAGATGGTTCAATGCTGCTCTTGCCATTGCTGCAGTATTTTGATGTTGCCAACGTAATTACAACAACGTTAGGCCCTAGCAAACGCGGCGCGGTATTGTTGGAGACTGCAAAACCTGAAACATCATTGGACATTTCTTCGCAGTCGTTTTTATCACAGTGATCCGAGCTTTTCCCCCGTCATTTAAGGGTATTTCTTTATTTACAGGCACGAACAAACAATAGCATATAACAGCCCATTCCCGTAGTGCACCACAATGATCATTACATGTGAGAAAAAAACAAAACCAAAGTGTTGCCCAGTTGTCCAGTTGTCCAGCTTTTCATTAGTGACGGAGATGTTCCCCGTACGCGGTTTGAATAGTGTTTCAGCTAAGACGCAAAAATGCCGCCGAGCACGCTGCTAGGAATGCTCGGATTTACTTTCTTATATATTAGGTTCCGGATTATTCAGCTCGGATTTCTTGGTGGAGAATATGCCTTCTCTTCAATGCTAAATCCTCCCCAAGAGCCTGAGACTCGCAGAGCCATGGTTTTCCGCGTACCTAAGCGAGCGTTGTTTTGGGTGCGGGCTCGGGTCCGGTGTATAAGCGCGTCGGTGTCGGACGGTAGGTGGGTTAAACATGCGCCGGTGAGCGGCACCAGACCTAGGCACTGAATGCATTGCAAGGAAAGATTGTGTGTGATATGGTAGAGAGATTCGGCTGTAACCCGCAAGCTGTGTTCCTCGTTCAGTCGTGAGTGTGGTGCGTGATACTGTTGAAGTTGCAGGAACAACTTGCCTTCATCTGACGCCGCTCACAGAGAACAATTTTTTGCCTTCCTTCCAGTGTGTATTTGTGAAGAACAAAATGTCTTGGGGCTAAAAGCACTAAGAGAGGCCCAAATTTCAGACACTGCTTACCCGATACGGTCGGTGATAAAAGCTGGAACACCTTAGTGAGCGGATGCAGCTATTTGTGTATTCAATTCAGAAGCCGCACAGAAGAGCAATTTTCGCAAACGGGAGATTATCTCCATGTAGCGAAACAATCCGTAGATGATAACGAGATATCCCTAAAGAGCATCCTGAAAAAACAATCTGAAGTAAATGGGCACGTATTGCAAGAACAAACAATAAAAACGTGGGACACACAACGCTTTTATGTATCACTGCCCATCGGTCTTACGCGTTCTTCTCGACGTTGTAAACATTGATCAGCAATACTCTGATTGACCATGACCGTTCAAAGCATGAAATTTCGCGCCTACATAAGGCTTCTAAAACAATGGTGTGCCAACATGGGATGGTTGTGTTGAGATCGGTTGAGACATGTGGCAAATTTGACAAAGACAACACCATACGTTTTCAGTGCTCTTGCAACGCCGTTACCCCATTGAGAGCTCTAACATTTCCTGTTTTGTACACTGATCCTGTTAAGCCGAAGAGACAAAAGCCTACCACCCTCAACCAGAATGGGGTTAACCAAATCACCTAATTGAACTGGGATTACGACATAGTCTTTGGAATATATGAAGGTTTCGTTTCTGCACTCGAACGGGATAACTGCACTTCAGAATACATAGGCATTCAGCTCGGGGAAGACACGATTACGCTAATGTGATGCATCGCGTTCTTCTTACAGCTATGACGTGATCAGCCCCCAGGAGTGGTTGTAGGTCAAACCCTGTGATCGCCAGATCGGCGTCCCCCGCTGCTCTTTGTGTTGGTTATTCTTTCCCGTGATTGTTGTTGTTAATCCGGTTATACGAACGCGTAACTTAAAACCGATGAGAAAAGAGAGCCAGTCACGGCTTTGCTCGATGATGTTTTTATGCGCTATGCAAAAGGACAGCGAAATTTTAAGAAAGACTACAAAACAAGTTCCGAAAGATTGCGTTAGTTGTTGCTGGAACTCTCATGCCTGTACGTTCATAGGTAATAAGGCACAAGGCCGTGTCAGCGTGACAAGCCGGGCCGGTCCGAGATCCTTAATGTACGAGATTTCGGCCATTTGACAATGAGACTCACTCAGCACGTAGCCTCGCGCGAAATGAAACCACGTGGGGCAAAAACCAGCAAAGAGCACAAAGCAGATGAATCTAGGGCAATGCGTTAAACGGCCGCACTGAATGTAGGAGAAAACAGGGATCGGCACATGGCTAAGCCTCCCGCGTGTAGATAAAGGTGTTTTTTGATGATAGGCAGGCAGGCAAACAGCCGTAAACAGTCGCAGCACGCTGGAGGACGAGCCACCAATCAAAGCCGCTTCCTCCGTCGCGCTGCTGTTGCCGTCTGGTGGCCAAAGCGTCAAGTCAAAGTTCGCCAGCTGGTCGCGGAGCGACGCATGTTCCAGCGCGACAAGCGCGGCACTAGCCGTGCCGCTCTTGAGCCTGCGAGCGTGCAGAATACTGGCGTATAAGGCCTCACATCTCTCAGCGAGTTATGCTAGCGAGATTTCAGGTTTCAAGGGTTTTGGAAACCTAAAATTCACACAAAATTAAAGCCGTTTGTATTTTGCAGCTCACTATGAACACTTAGTATTGCATGTCCAAACATGAAGTCACTCTCGGTGGTATCGACAGGATTTCACGCAAGAGGGTGCCAGTCCAAGGCGCAGAGGGCTGCTTCAGTCAAATTGTACCCGTTGCCTTAGCAATGTAGCAACGGGTACTATTAGCAAGTAAATAGTAGTAGCCTTGATTAATGGCGATATGTTTGCTAAAAGCAATAGCTTTGCGCGATTGGTATTCTTCTCCGGCTTCCTTGATTTGGAGAATATTTTGCTGCCCAGGAACTTTTTGATGCCGCGAGAGCCCATTGTTGATGTTTTAGAAACCATACGAGTGTCTCAAACTGCCAAAATATGCTGGCGGCCTCGGCGCTAAGTGGGCCTGAACACCTCCAGGGACGGGTGGGGTTTTCGGACTTCGCCCGAAAATAGCCCCACCTGGGCTACGCCGTTGATCACGCTGGCCGAGTAAAAGCTTATGGCTCTCTTTGTGTGCTACCAGAAAACTAGTTTATGGCTCATTACCATTTATGAGGTGATTCATGGGATGTGACATTCGTTAACACCTTGCCCTGCTACAGGAAAGGGACGATGCGATTTCCCCTGCCCCGTTCGGGTTTTCTGATGAGTTAACCAATGGGTCACTCATTGCACGTGTTCTGACAATACACGCTTGTCTTTAGTACATCTGGTGTTGAGGCATCGACATTTTTTGGAATCAC